ATTCTACTGATATTATAAACCGAAAGTTTTTATATGTTTGTTTGTTTTTTTTATGGAATAGGAGGCAAACGAGCAGACGGATCACCTGATGGTAAGCGATCAGCGCCGCCCATGGACACCCGCAACACTAGAGGAGTCACAAGTGCGTTGCCGGCCTTTTAAAAAGGCATACGCTCTTTTGTTACTCCTTCACGTCAAAACGGGTGAAGGGATGGAGACGAATTTTGGAATAGGGATGGATTATGGTTTGAAATAACACATAGGCTACTTTTTACCCCACGAGGACGCGGGTGAAGCCGTTGGCAGAAGCTAGTTGAACATACATAAGTAAGGATTATAAAACGTGCGACAGCTAGAATTACTTCGAAGATTTCTCTCAGGGAATGTTGTAAACAGTCACGTCAGCTGCTCGAGGCATATCTAGCTAGCTCTATCATTATGTAGTCTCCAATCAATAATTTCTATGTAATAATTATGTATGTAGGACTTTTAGGTGTTTCTTAGATTAATCGCGTGTCTGTAGTGAAAACTAGTTCTTTGTTGCAAGTTCGCCATTTCATTGTATATGTGCATTGAAGTCTAAATAAACAAATTAGTTACCGGCGTACTCACAGTTATTTAATAGGTACTTATCCCAGTCCTTAGCTTTTTTATACTAGATAGGTCGACGTTCGGCCATCATATCGCTTGGTGGTAAGCGACGATGAACCTGTTCACTCGGGACTTGAAGACACCCAAGTTACAATTGTCGGGAAACGCAGATTCCGGCAAGGAGTTCCATTCCTTAGCTGTTCGCACTAGGTATTGTTTTCAGTACAAATCGTTACTAAGGAATCATAAAATTAAATGTATGTATCTGAGTACGGCAGTTAGGTCTAAGTGCAAAAATTTAGATGATTTTATTTTTAACCGACTTCCCCAATAAGGACGAGGTTATCAATTCGGTTGTATGTTTTTTTTGTTAAGTGTTAGTACAGGATGTTATCTGTTTTACTGCTCCAATTGTGACATGGCACAAGGTCCTCGACTTCTTACAGTACGAACGTAATAAATATGTAATTGTAACAAAGTACAGGTGGAGCGGGATGTTGAGCCACCGGCTTATGATCGGCATCGCGGACGCATTTCCTGTCAATTTACAAAAAAAACCTTGCTCGCATTGTGATCACCGTTTACTTGTCGACACAAACAGTAGGATCTACTCGATTAATACACTTTTTGTTGATCCTTCCTCAGTTACCTGTGCTGCGGTCGAAGGTCAAACAGTTGCAATAGAGAGTGTTTCACAAAAACTCGATTATAAATATCAATATGTATGGGCGGAATATTAATATGTATGTACAGTGAAATGGTGAGCTGTTTTGGAAACTTTTTGCTACTAGTCTTTCATTATTTTGTAAACCTTGAATGTTTTTGATTATATTCGACATTATACTTGTTGTTATTACTAGATAAATAGATGTTAGGTAAAAATCATAAAGTGCGGTCTTGGAACACGCTATCGTGCAATGAAAGTGTTGGATAAGTAGTCAAGTACCTATATAGTGACTTGAGAGTTCAGAAATGTAATTAATTATTTAGGTACTTATGCGCCCAGTAGGTCCATGTGTGCAACAAGTATCCAGCGGACAGGTGCAGTAGCCGCGGTCACAATAGCGCAGTATGTGGGTTGCGACACAGTACACAATACTCGGCAAATCGTAACATATAATCACTATAGCATTACAAATATTTGCAAACAGAGCACACACCTGTTCACTTCAGCACGATATGTTTAGGAACATCACTAGTTCTTCGATTTATTTTTTCGCGCATCGTATTCCAATGGCTTTAGTTCGTCGGATGCGCGGGCGCGGCCCGCACGATATCACTTGCGCGCGAGTCTCGCGACTTTGGCCATCGGGACGTGATACGGGGCCGAGACGAGCCTTTCACAACGAAGGTTGTTTGACAATAGACGATAGAACCGGTGGTAGGGACCGACTTATCAATGGTTGCGTAACGCCACGTGTACTTGGCGGTGGAGTGTTTACGCGACATTGCTACTTATTGCCGCACGCGCCGGTGTCGAGGTGATCGCGAGGAATTTGATTCGAAAACTCGTTTTGAGTAAAACATAATATTCTATTTTTAGCATATGAAATTCATAAATTCGTAAATAAGCAATACTTTAAATCCCAATGTAAGTTGAAATCTGCGTTATTTATGTTTTATGTGAATTCTTAAATGATATTTCAACATGTTCCCGGACGCACAGCGCGCAGTAACTCCTCGCTCCACAATCACAAACGCATCAAGTTCACTCGTTGTTGTAATGTTTTGCTCTCAAGTAAATAGTTTCACGTTTTTTGCTATCATCAACAAATGTTGACTTTAATGCCACAATGCGATCACTATGTCGTCAGTGGTCGTTCACTGACGATGGAATGTTTACAATGTACCCACTAAATGACTTGCGTAGTGTTTTTTGATCAAATTGTGAATTTTAGGAACATGATAATGTCGACATGTATCTATTCTGAGTTTAGTCATCATGTGTGAGGTGATGTCAGTGTTACATTGCTTCATTACTTGACATCGCGACCATGTGAAGTCGCTACAGACGAGATACGGTTTCTTTGATAAGTAGGCGATACACTTATTTTAATATTCGATAATTATGTGCATGCTATATTCCACGAAACTCGTCTTTGGGTTCGAAAAAGTCGTTTGCGACCGAAAATCATTGATAATCTATGATTAATGATTTTCTAAAGAATACGTAATTAAAAAACCATTTAAAAACGTAAAAAATATTTTATTTACAACATAATGCGCTGGTGGCAAACAAAATAACTAGTAAATAGTAATACACGACTGTCATACAACTGGCTCATGTCAATATGTAACAAAAAAAGTCTCAAAAAGTACCTACTTAAATAAAACTAATGTTTATTTTTTATTAAAAACGTTGCCCCGTACTAGAATTTTTTCCTGTGTCGTAGTCACGTTTACAAACATACAAGTTCACATACACATCACACCCAGACGCGGAACAACAATTTGTGGATCACATAAAGAGTTGTTCCGTGTGGGAATCGAACCCGCGACACGTTGCGCGGCAGCCAGTTGCCCAGCCATCGTGCCGACCGTGCAGTCGAACAAAAACATTTTCTATAACAAACAACTGATGATCGGTGATCAACATAATATTAACTGTACGAAATATGTATTAACATGATTGTAAGCTACACACTATTGCGTAGACAACATATATTTAGTTGTTCCATCAAACACCTTTTTCTTAGTTCTTATACGAATTCGAAAATATCTATGGCAAGTACAATTTAACTAAATTAACTTTGTAATGCAGTATACAATGTCGCGGAGAACCTAACGGGTTACCGGGCTCCAGCTCGAAGTACAGGAGAAGGAACGGGGTGGTTTTTAATCAGTAAGAGTCTGACACTCCCTCCCGCCTCACCCAGGCGGGAGCAGTAATTCGATGATAATGCCCCTTTAAAAAAATGCAGTACACAATGATACAAATGGAAACATTTCCTATGTAATTATAATATGTGTTTCCCATTCCGAATGTTTTTTCCCATAGAGACTTGATAATATTCGTTTGAAAATCAATGCAGAAAGTATTAGTTCACTGTATCCAGTGTTAGGTTAAATTCTTATAGAAATATGGGCCTAGGTACGAGTACTGCAGTTTCCCTACTGCTTATCGTCTCTGGATGCCATGATGTCTGTCACCAAAGCTAATCACTATATCTGTTTAATCTCAGTCTATTGTATTAACTTAATTTTAACTATTATACTGACGCTAGCACATCAAGCTACACATATCTGTCGATTAAATTCCTACTTTATTGCAATCTTCGATCAACAATAACAACTAGATATCGGGTCGGCGCAAGAAAACCGTCTCGACAAATAAGAGCTCACTTGAGAAGTGAGCTCTTATTTTGTTTAGTATGCTCCAAACACGGCCAACGTACTCACGTCTCACGATGCCGCAATGCATAATTGCAAGTTGCAAAAATAATAACCGAAAAAGCAGTATAACGGCCGGAGTGTCTTACTTTTGATAAGTACATAAAATATAAGTTATATTTTAAGCTTTTAAACTAGTAAATAATATCAAATTAGTCAAAATTACCAAATAAACCAACGCCACCAATGTTTGTGCGTATGTTGGTGATCCCTTGGCCAAACCTCGCCAACACGCGCACAAACATTTGTTTAAACAGAACAGTGGATGCATGGAGTCCATTTGTATTGGAAAATAAAATTGTATTGTAACCTGATTGGAAATGAGTATCTAACCTATGGAGTTTATTGCTCGTTCTTCTCCATAGGAATCTACAGCTTGGAATGAGCAATTAGCTTCACTTTTAAATTTATTATATTGACGTTCAAAAGTGCCTTCCTGGTCTAACTGAAATAAATGATTTTGACTTAGACTTTTAATGATAAAGCAAATAAACATATCATACACAAAAACGTACCGCTAATAGAAATAAGTGATGTAAGTACCTATACTAAGATCCCGAAATCTTAATTTTCATATTATAAAATTAGTTTAGTGTCCAACGCGACTCCATACATACCTCCTGTAGCAAAATTCGAAATTTGAAGAAGCAAAACGAAGCAAAACAAAACGATATAGATCGCAAGACAATAATGGAAAAATTATCTTTATTTGTTCAAAGTTAAGGTTGAATTCAAACTAGATATTGTATAACTTATGTCTTTTAATTTCTACATGACAGGAGTAAGAAAATACTTTTCTCGTATTATGTGACAAATGGTCGTAAGTATTAGATAATATTTTGACGATTTATGACTATATTATTAGGTGCCATGGTTGTTATTAGGTTGAACTTAAAACAATTTTAAAACATTTTTCTCTGTTTGTTATTTTTTAACTATTATTATTCACACGGACAGAACTGGAGCTTGATTTTGTACGTAACCCTTTATCTAGTTGCTATTGTTGATCGAAGATTGCAATAGTCTAAAGTTGATAATCTATTACAAATTCGTAGTATAGCTTGATGTGAATTTGTTCTAAATTATTCCTAATTATTGAGTTCTCCTGTACATGGAGTATGTTTGGTTCCAGAACAGCAGGCCCTGGTCATCCCACACTGGTGCTACGGAGCTCTCTTTGTCTATCACATATACTTGGGGACTTTGCGCCTCTGCTGGCTCCCATCGCGGCGAGATTAGTGATGATGACGGAGTTGGATCACTGTCAAAACAAATAAGACGTTATTGAAGTACGCTCAAAGAGTAGGGCACAATAATCAATGTGACATGGTACTTGTACCAGTTATATTTTATACCCGGTAATCGAACCTCTATAGAATGAATTAAACCACGAAACTAGCCACTCCAGTTTGATAAGAAATATATTTATTTTAAGCCGTAAACACGGAGTTATGTGGGTCTCGGTCAACTGCCAATCATATAAAATATTCTTTCATCAAACGCAAGTAGCGAGCAAGTTGTTGCGAAACAGAGCAGTCAGCTGCGCGGTAATTCATACATGTTGTTCATCTCGTCTGAACTATTTGTGAATACTTTAATACATAACAAATGCTCCCTGCACGTGAATGCATTTCATCTTCGGGTTCCTTTTTATTAAAACAATTTGTGTGGATTACGTCTAGAGCTATTGTATGTACATGTTTTGTTTCCACTCATTTTCTTATTTAAATACAAAATACATAACACAACATAACATAACATCATGCCTTTTGTCCCCGAAGGGGTAGGCAGAGGTGCACATTAGGCCATTGTACAATGTAACACCCACTTTTCACTATTTATGTTATGAGTCCCATGTAATAGGGGGTCTAAGCCTATTGCCATATACCGGGCACAATTCCAGACTATGTGCTGTTACTGAGAATTTTAAAAAAATCCAGTAATACTTTGCCCGACCCGGGAATCGAACCTAAGATCCCTTGCCCGGCAATCGCCCTTGTGACCACTCGGCCAATAAGGCAGTCTAAATACAAAATATTTTCAACTAAACTATCTTAGCACTTTTGAAATGTCAAATCAGAATTATTTTTCAGTCAGATCGATTATTTACATTTGTTTGATTTAACTTCTGTCTAAGATCTAGAACTATCCGGATAATATCGAACAAGTTCTAAAACTCAACCAATAGAGAACAACGAGCAAGAATTTAATTCAAATTATTAAAATGTATAATGCATACAGTTTTAGTTTGACACTGAGCCGAGGGTCACGCATTCTAAGCATCAAATAGAGACGGAGTGTATTTGCAAGCAGTGGGGGCAAGGTCAAGAATTAAGTGGCTAGAGTCACTAGTCGAGGCTAGAGGGGGGGCAGGCAGACCTTAGGAATCTCTTTATTGTTTAGCTAAATAATATTGGTGATGAAATTGATATGACACATGTCGTTTGCCTCAACTTCGTGCTAGAATCGGTGAATCATAAAGTCATAGTAACAGATTTGTTATAACTTGCTCGCCCCTTTTATTGGAATGTTGGAAGGTCGTTACACGTCTTTGTAGAAATTTGTAGTATGTGGATAACGTTAAAAAAATGTAAGCAGCTCGACTTACCCATATTTGGCAAAGTTGGTCCACAACGTTGTGAATTTCTCAATAAAGTTCTTTTCTAGATGCCCATTCAGCGTTAAAGAGCTGAATAGATAGAATATTTCATCAGCATGAGTGGCGCCTGGCGTTTTGCGGAACCCAAACGCGAACTTGGAGAAGTTCAGTAATCCATCATAGCTGAACTTGTACGCATAAACTGCTTTGTCCAGTGTCCGCAGGAGCAGGTCTATAGTAGCTACTACCGGGTATGTGATACCCACGTCACCCTCGTACCGAGCCAACTTTTCTAAAGAAGAAATTTCTTTTGTAAACTTCTCGTCTCCCATGTACAGCTCACGCACCTTCTCTGCTGTTTCCATTTTCTCTTTATCAGAAGGAAACGTTAAATCTCGTGGCAATGCGTTAAATAGATCTAAGTTAGCTAAAGTAGTTTCGTTTTCTTTGCCAGCAAAATATAGACCCTCAGCGTTGTTGAAGCCAATAATGACGGGTACCTTATTGTATTTCCCTCCTTTGATCAGGTTGTAAGGACTGTCTGGCAGGAACTGTTTTACTCTGTGTATTTTCTTTTCGATGCACGGTACGAAGATGTTCTGAGACTGCACGATGTCACCCTCTTGTCGTGGAACACGGTATGACAACAGATCCTCAGCTGTCATATTTGAGAATAATTTGTGAATCTCGAGAGGGTCTCGTGTCGTGTGGCCCATTTCTTGAGCCAGCCGACTTGCAGTCTCTAGAGGCTCAAATTGCAAGGCCCAAGGTGCTAAACTAGACCCACTTTGCATGATAGCTTTGTTAAACAAGCCTTTAGACATCGGAGACACTAAGTGGTATGAGACGGAAGCAGCTCCTGCACTTTCACCAAATATAGTGACATTGTCAGGGTCGCCTCCAAACGCTCGAATGTTTCGCTTCACCCACTGCAGCGCTTGCACTTGGTCTTTCAACCCCACATTACCGGGAGCTTCTTCAATACCAAGACATAGGAACCCAAGTACTTCTACTCTGTAGTTGACTGTTACTAAGATAATTCCATGTTTAACTAAGAATTTTGGACCGTAGATGAAGGGTGATCCTGAGCCATCCCTGAATCCTCCGCCGTGTATGAACACCATGACAGGCAGTCCTTGGCCGCTGGTTTCCATTGGAGTGTACACGTTCACAGTGAGGCAGTCCTCGACACCCATGATGCGGTTGAAGAACCGCTGATTGCACCTGATGTGCTCGTTGTGTGCGTTGAACTCGCCCTCCCATTTCGGATTCGGCCGTGCTTCCTGGAATTGACACGAAAGTAAATCAGTAACTTATATAAACGTAATGTTTCGAGAACTGCTCTCATCATGAATTCAACATAAAATAGTGGGACTAGAGCGAGGCTTCATTAAAAATGTATTCCGACAATTAGTGAGGAGCTGACGTGTAGGTGTGATTAGACGGCGAGTGGCAATCACAAGTAGATTAGTGGTGTTACGTGCGACGCTCATCATTAACGCGCGGTATTAGCAGGCCTTCACGGAAACTATTCTGCTGTAATTGCTTCTCGATACTGCACTGCCAACTCATGGTAGAGTGGACGACGATATGTAATTAATATTAAACTGTTGCCAATGTGCCATAAAATTCACATATAATACTTATCCAAAGTAAAGGCGAGCACCGCCTTTACTTTACTCAGAATTGAAAACTGTTAATGTTAAATAATTTTAAATTAAATCAATAAATAAGATACTTACTTGAAACCTGTGTGTCACAGTAGCGTACGGTATTCCAAAGTACTGTAGGTACGTGCCGTCAGGAGCCACCGTCCCCCGAGCCACGCCACCGCTCAGCTGCACCGGCGCCGTCGGCTGCGGTACCAGCGGCGCCACCCACAACGAGATCAGCACCAACAGCTTCAAACTCGACATCGACTTCAAGTAGTTCTTCATCTTTTATACTTATCTTCAGCTTTGATTTAAGGGATAATGACTTTTAAACTATCAACAATAAAGTTGGTAATTGCTTTATAGTTTCAATATAACATTTTAGATTCTGAGACCTCTTTTCCCAACTAATGGTGACTGCACACTACATATTATCCAGATATCTGCTACTTGTTTAGTCGTGTGACTCGTGTCAATGACGTCATAACAGCGGTCGAAATTTTCCAGGTTTAGTATGGATCTGTAAGTAAAGAGAGAAGAATGATTGTAATAAAAAAGATGCAACAAGCAGTCAACTTTGAATGTGTGGTTATTTCAACTATACTTGATAATACTTAAAATGAGGAATTTTACTCTTTAGGCCTTGCCTTTGCCATCGACCACAACATCAACAATGACTAATTAATATGTTCAATAATTAAGATGAAATTGTGAATGAATAGAATTTCAATTATAGGTCAAATATTGCATTTTTTGTTGGTTTACAAGTTACTTGTATAGCTGCAATGTGCAAGAGATCTCGTAAAAAACAAAAACGGCAATGTAAAAATAATTTATTTCAATTAGAGCAGGAAAAATTGACAGGACAGGAAAGATTGATTAGATTGACTGCACGGTTGGTGCGGTGGCTGGGCAACCGGCTGCCGTGCAACGTGTCGCGGGTTCGATTCCCGCACGGAACAACATTTTGTGTGATCCACAAATTGTTGTTTCGGGTCTGTGTGTCATTGTGTTTGTGAACTTGTATGTTTGTAAACGCACCCACGACACAGGAGAAAATCTTAATGTGGGGCAACGTTTTAATAAAAAACAAACAAACAAAACAAAACAAACAAACAAAGCATTTTTAAACCTCGACAAAAAATTAAAAGTGAAGCTATTTGCTCATTCCAAAGTGTAGATTCCTATGGAGAAGAACGAGCAAGAAACTCCATAGGTTACTCTTTTTCAATCAGGTTCAAGGTCACAATACAATTTTCAGTTACATAGTCTTGTTGGTTCAATTGTGCGAGAACAATGCAACTCTAAAACCTAGTCAAAGAGATCGTATCGTAAATTACAAAGATCCTTAAGTCCACTAAGGGCACATGTAAATAGCAATTAATATCTGTAATAGCTTCATTTACGTCACAAACTAGCCAAGTGGCATGACTAGACATCATTGCATAAACACCAGGTACGATTCCAACTAGAAGCATCGAACTGTGCGTGTCTTACAATGCATTGTAATGTTGATTGTAATTGCTTACTGAAACAACTAGTTTCGACTACTGCAGTTGTAAAGAGGTTAGGTCGAATTCATGAAGATTCTATTTTCGAAATACAACGTAAGCATTGTTTCACGTCGGTTTTCCCTGAGGCCATGGTATCACTCCGGTCGAGCCGGCCCAGCAGTACCGGATCAGGGCTCTCCCACACTATTGGCATAAAATAAAAAAATAAAAGGTTTGGGTGAGTCTTTCTATCCTGCAGCTGTAGCCAAATGCCATTTAGCGGTTGTCTACATGTAGAATAGAAAACCAAATTATATGGAATTGACATAAATTTTGACACTTGTCAGTGTCATCCCCATACATTTAGTTTTCTACGCTCTCTGTAGACAAGCGCTAAAGTGGCGTTTGGCTAAAGGCACTGATAATTTCTTATGATGTATGTTAATAGTAATGTTTGCTTTTATTAAACTACACTTCAGTTCCTAACTATGAATAGATATTTATCATCATAATCTGTTGATTGCCTATAACCACTGGCCACTGCAGACCAAAGGCCCCTTTCCGCACGGAGAAGGTTCGAGCATTAATCACCACGCTTACTCAATGCAGGTTGGCGATTTCAAACTAATAATTAGAAGTTATAAGCCCAGGTTTCCTAACAAGGTTTTCCATCACTGGTTGCCAGTAGTGTCTAGACAATTTTAGAAAGCACATTGGTACTTGCCGATGGTAGGTTCCGAACCTGAACTCTCATCGATGAGAAGCAGGCTTCTTAAGCCTCTGGGCCACCACAATAACTGATCTAAGATTTTCAGTGCGCTGGGAAGAATACACAGCTTCTGGTCTATAAGACTTGAAATGTATTATATGTGTAATGTATTGGTCGTAACTTCGTCATAATACAGTATTTTGTATTTAATTGAAGTCTAATACAAATGTTTGATTAGTTTGGTAGACTTGGATAATGTAACTAAATTATTTATAGGGACATAATTGATCAATGACGTATATCCATTTTGAATAAATCAAAATGAATCTTAAAATTTGAATTACACTAATGAAAATCGTTGTGAGCCTTCAAGAGGCTGGTATTTAGTTAGGGAGCGACTTATACTGAAGAAATAAGTATCTAAAATGAAATTAATTGGATAATTATTGAGCCACGTCTGAGTACAGAGTAATGAGCTGTTTATATTCAGTAATAAGGCTCTTATTAACTTATTGATAATAAGCTCATTGAGACAGCCTCTTCATGAAATCAGATTATTTTGAGAAATTATCGCTGTATTTTGGGCTTTATCTAATTTTCCTCCATGTATACTCGTAGATGTATGTATGTGTGTGTAGTATAATTGCCTGTAGCTACGCAATTTCAAGTATGAAGACAACCTACATTATCCCTTCGGGTGAATGATCTGATGTTACTGATGATCACATTATGATTTATTTCTACGATTTTTATAGTTGAAGTAGACGGTAAAAAAAAGAACATAATTCTACTTGGATGATTTGATTTCATAGAGGTATATCACATGTCTACTTGTACTACTAGGTCACAGGGTACAGAAATATTCATACTTTAAGATACTAAGAATAAGAAATACAGGAAGGAGAAATCCATGTCACTAACCACCCTGCATTCAACGATATAATTCACTGATTTCCAAGATCCTTTCTTAAATTATACGATCAAAAAAAAGCAACGCTTAATTTGCTCACAACCTTCAATTCTCCAAACTATAATGATAGCAACAGACGAAGTCACGTCCAAAGACAAGTTCTTGGTACACCAACAAGTCAACCTACCACAATTTCTGAAATATCCACATTGGATTTCGAACTTTACTCGTTTTTATTATAAAGTCGAAAGTCTGTCTGTACTGGGTTCCTTTCAGTTAGTATGTAGGTACTTAGTTCTTATACTCAGTGCTCCCGTTATGTTACCAACCAGTTATTTTGTGCACAAAACTGGTTCTGAACGGACTGTACTTTCAATGACACGTCTCCAGTCCGGACGAGTAAACGAAACCATGCGCATATTACATATATGCGTACACATACCGTGTTAACCCGTTGAAATCCACCCCCTAAATTTGGTCATACAAAAGTAGTCTCTAAACATTACAAATAAGGTCTATAATGTAATGTAATATTAGTGGAAAGCGGTCACCGGTGACCGCTTGGTGATTTATGGGGATATCTTTTATTTTTCGAAGGGTAAAGCAGAGAACATTTAGGGCTATCATTAAATTTAAGGTCAGATATTATACCTAATACAATACTGGCCTTCTGGAGAAGCTCAAAGTCGCTCAGCGCGCGATGGAGAGAGCTATGTTCGGGTTTTCTTTGCGCGACAAAATCCGAAATATGGAAATTCGCCAAAAAATTAGAGTTACCGACATAGCTCGCAAAATCTGCCGACTGAAGTGGCAATAGGTAGGCCACGTCGTTCAACGGGCTGACGGCAGATGGGCTAGGAAAGTCCTTGATTGGAGACCACGGACCAGAAGACGAAGCGTGGGCAGGCCTCCCGCTAGGTGGACCGACGACATCGCCAGAGTTGCGGGAAGCCAGTGGATGCGGGTGGCGAGTTGTCCTTCGACGACGTGGAGGACTAATGGGGAGGCCCTTTATCCAGCAGTGGACATCTTTTGGCTATTGACGATCATGATGATGATAATAATACAATTACATGCTGACATATATCCTCCCAAAATACACGCTGAAGCGTTTGTTTGTTCGAACGCCCTAATTATTGGTCCAAATTGAACAAAATAATTATTTTTTTGTTGAATAGTCCATTTCTCGAGGAAGGCTATAAGACATCATGTCAAGATCTAAAAGAGCGAGCAGTGGGTGAAACTCACGAAATTAGCCAGCGTCTGATGTGATAAAAGTTGCTGTGCACGCACGTACTTATTGAAAGTACGTCATAATAACGTCAACGAAACAGGCTTTAAATGTAACAGCCACTTTTCAACAGCCATGTTATATTTAAGTCGAGTGGGTGATAGCAGTTTCCGTAACTACTGATAAGTTTTTGGAATTTTTTTTTTTTTTTTTTTTTTTTTTTTTTTTTTTTTTTTTTTTTTTTTTTAAACGTTGCCCCACACTAGGATTTTCTCCTGTGTCGTGGGTGCGTTTACAAACATACAATATCACATACACATCACACCCAGACCCGAAACAACAATTTGTGGATCACACAAAGTGTTGTCCCGTGCGGGAATCGAACCCGCGACACGTTGCACGGCAGCCGGTTGCCCAGTTAAATGGAATCTTGATCCCTTGCGAGGTAGTCGCAGTAAGACCACTCGACCGACGTAGTGAAATGAGAGCACATGTGTATAAAGAAATATATCATCTTTCGCCGTACTCCAGGTTACTATTAGTCATCATAATAGTGTTTGAAAACGTGTAGTTGTGTGTTTATCTTGATCTCATAACTATTTAATAGTTTGGTGTGAACAAACAGAATTGTAAGTTGAATGTTTATTCATATATACCTACATAATTTAAATTGTGTTTTTATATTATAAATGTTGGACTCGTTTTTTAATAGTATTGTAAATGTAGATGTGTTTTGGTGGATTTTTATATGATAATGTTCTTTAAATATAGCGACTTTATTACAAGTTATTTTAAGTGTTATAATTACAATATAGAAGTTTCCGGTACTGAGCTAACTTTAAGGTTAAAGAGGTACCTATTACATTTAATAATTTCATTTGGTTAAAAATAATTTTATCCTTTTCTATTCTATGTGGGATTTAGCAGATAAGCAGGTCAATCTATCCGTTTGTGTCAAATTTCTCTATTAAATCTTAAACTTTATTGTATTGACATAAACTCGAAAATGAATAAAGACAGACTGGAGAAGGTCGATCCGCTGGCCACTGTACCTTAGTCCTCTGATTAGAAAGAATACCCCCTAAAGTACGTAATAGTTATAACCTGGGTGTCTTCACAGCTCGAGTGAATAGGTTGCTTATGGGAGGACGTGCTCCATCGTAGACCACATCATCGTGCACCACCAGGCGAGATAGTGGACAAACGTAGGCTCATCAAATATAAAAAAGGTACCATCATCTCACGCGAAACGCAACTACCCACACCTACTTCAAAGTGCAATGACCGCAAGTCAATAACAATGCCAATTCAAAACCAGTTGTATCTTCTAATTTAACTCGTCGAGTACCGGTTTTGCAGACACAATTATAGAACAATAGGTTGCGGTCACCGGTGACCGCTTGGTATTTGACAGTTTAAAAGGTTCAAAATATAAATTCTTGTTTTGTTCCTTGACTACATATTATATTTATTTGAATTGACTTCATAGTTCATATTCCAATGTATATTAATGTTAATTTATTTCATAGTCATAGTTGCGTTTGAGAAATATGAAGTTAAATAATATATTAGTTTTAGATACATTTGGAAATCAGTTATTGAGTCACGCGTTCATGCACGTTTGGGATCAAATTCTGCACTTCTTGAGGTAAGCAGTGTTGTGTGAGTGCATTGTGTGGAGTTCATAACAATAACACGTGTTAGAATTTTGTAGTAACATGTATTGAATCGATGTTATTTTTTAACATATAAGAAATTATATAAAGCGAATATTTTATTTATATGTATGTATTATGTAATATGTAGGTACACTATTTCCGTTCAGTTATATATTTCATCTTTAAACTGTCAAACACCAAGCGGTCACCGGTGACCGCAACCTATTGTTCTATAATTGTGTCTACAAAACCGGTACTCGACGAGTTAACAGCAAGTTTACTTTATTTCTTTAAAGTAAATGTACTATTTATTTACCATTGTCAAACACAACACTGTCATTGTACCCAGCTGATTCTATTACGACATCTAATCAATTCACTATCAACCTTATCACAAGGTCGCAAGGTATCAATCAAGTTGTTTACTACCGGCGTCTATGACATTGTTATTCCAAGCACATGGGTTTACTATTTAACCTAGATACTTACTTTTTCCTCGATGTTCCGTAGTAGATGACACACAAACGGATAAATAAATAAATTGCACTATTTTCTCACAATTGAATTTGACACTTGTTTTTACTGTGTTAGGGTGTAAATTAGTTTGTTTCTAAGTTGTAATGTTGTGATGGTTAGTTTCTTGAGTGTTGGACACGTATGCGCAAGCGACTGATCGCTGCGTGAATGCGTACGCGCAGGTTACCGGCCGGCTTTAATATGTCACATTGTTGTAGAGCTATTAAATAACGGATCTATAATGAATGTCGCTTGTTTTGTGGAAAATATACAATGTTAGATACATTACGCGTGATTACTAAGCGTTTAATATTCGGCTCGAAACTTTGGAATTAGCACCTAGCTTCACTGACAGACTGACTGACAGACTATTATTCATTTTGTATTTGTTGACGTTTCAAAAGTACTAAATTATGGTTTAATTGAAATAAATGCTTTGACTTTGACTTTGAAACTCAGAAAATGAATGCACAGAAAATTTCGAACTTTTGAACATTCTCGCCCGTCATTGGTCGAGATTATTCTGATAGTCTTACAACCAATGACATGGCCAACCGCGATCGAGTTCACTTTGACTGTACATGCAGTACTTGGCAAGTTGCCTCGGTTCCTGTGCACCGCTTTTCATGAATAACAAAAATACAATTCTACTAGCTGACTGATCCATTGAGGTAAGATATAAAATATACTGTGCTAAACATAAAGCAATTATCTATTATTCATCTACTGCTTCGTTGGCCGAGTGATCGCAGGTGCGAGTGCTGTGGGTCTCGGGTTCAATTCCGGGTTGGGCAAAGTATTACTTGTTTTTTTTCATTCTCAGTAGTAGCACGGAGTATGGGATTGTCCCCGATATTTGGTTATAGGTTCACCCCCTATTACATGGGAGTCATTATATAAGTAGTGAAAAAAGGCGTGATGTTATGTTATCATCTACTAGATAATTTTAAAATCGAGAAATGAAGCCTATAAAAAAATAAAAACACACAATACGTAAAAGCGTAAAACTATGACCTAATTTATTATTCTACACAATAAACTAATTACGTCTAATTCAAATATTTATCTTACCTTGTCTGAGCTAAGGTTTAAAGTACTACAGACTAGTTTACGATTACCTGCACTCGGTTTGAGCTGTTGTGAACTTGGCACCTATGTACTATCAGGAGTTATTGCAATCTCACGGTGAATATGAAGTTCATTGACCTCGTCTCGAATATAGCCTTATGAAATATTCCACTGACTGCGTTTGATCTAGGAGGTTTTAACTTATTAACTCGTCGAGTACCGGTTTTGTAGACACAATTATAGAACAATAGGTTGCGGTCACCGGTGACCGCTTGGTGTTTGACAGTTTAAGGCAACTCTTAATAAAGATGTCTTCGGTTCGATTTCGGGAAAGTAACTTTTTTGAGTTCTCGATATATCGGAAACCTGTTACTGCCTTTTTGTACTGTTAATTTTAAATTATTTTTTTGTTTAACTCGTCGAGTACCGGTTTTGTAGACACAATTATAGAACAATAGGTTGCGGTCACCGGTGACCGCTTGGTGTTTGACAGTTAATTAAAAAATGTTTATCGGCCGAATATTGAAAGGCCACTGAATTCTTAGTTGTAGGGACCTAAATATGGTGTCATCTCAGTCTATTACAAGGAATTTATAGTGATAGAACTATACATAAGCGAGCCTTAATATTTTTTTTAAGGTGTAGAATCTCTGAATGATTTCTTCCACCTGGATGAGACGAGAGGGAGTGTCAGACTCTTACTGACTAAAAACCACCCCGTTCCTACTCCTGCACTTCGAGCCGGAGCCCCGGTAACCCGTTAAGTTTTCTGCGACTCCGTATCGGCATCAGCCCTGTTGGGCCCTATCTGTAGAGGTCTGATGGCTCTTTGAGGCACGTGCGAAGGTAGGTAGGTACTACTCACCAGGTGTAAGTGGTTGTGGTTGTAGTATGACGAAAAAGAGACCTTATTACATGACACTATAAGTTCTATTATACTAATGTGTATAATTATGTGTATGTACAAAAAACAAATTACTGTTTATAATTGCTCTTAAGTAGCTGTATTTTATCTAGAAATCCTTCTTCCGTGTTAATATTTTTTACGTTCGAGAGGTATAATTAATTCAGTTTTCCTTGTAAAACGATAATATTTGTAGCTGTAGCCTTGAACCAAGTAATCGGTTCGTCGGTTACACATCTTTAACGCTCACATTAAGTAATTTACCTCTATACTGCTGGCAGGTTTGGGTACATACATAGAATTTTGACATTAAACTCAATGACGTATTATATATATAATATTATTGATTAAACTCCATAAAATTTGACATTTTTTCCATTAGATAGGCCGGCAAATAAGGAGTCTGATCACCTGATAGTAAGCAATTGGCATCGTCCATGGCCACCTGCTACACCAGAGAAGTTACAAGTGCGTTACCGGCCTCTTGGGGGATTTAGAGATTAGAGATATGTCTGGCCGCTCCAGTACCAATTACTCCCCCCCAATTACTGATTCCCTAACGATCCTCAAATTCCTAATGTCCAAAAGCCCGGCAACGCCATTGTAACGCCTCTAGTGTTCCGGGTGTCCATGGGGGACGCCGATTGCTTACCATCAGGTGATCCGTCTGCTAGTTTACCGGCTTATGACACAAAAAATAAATAAAAAAAACACAGTCCAAAGGGCACGAATGATTAACATACACATAATTTACGAGTGTATTAAATTATGAAGATTATTTTAAATATAGGACACTGATAACTGTTATCTAATCTACGTTGTTAAGCAAAAAATATAGTTCGTATCTGTGTGTGTAGATAGTATGTTGCAGGTACTATTGTGGATTAATTGGTTTTAGACAATGTCTGGTTTTTAAACCTAGTTCAGTTCATGTCACTAGAACATAATAATCACAAACATACTTTCGATTAAAAGGTTGTATTTTATGTACCTAGATAATAGTTAGTAAAATATATTTTTTTATTCTTTTTTTGTTTTATAAAACTCGGACTGCCTCGTTGGCCGAGTGGTCGCAAGTGCGACTACCGGGCTGGGAAGTATTACTGGGTTTTAAAAAAAATCTCAGTAGTAGCACGGAGTCTGGAATTGTGCCCGGTATATAGCAATAGACCCACCCCTATTACATGGGGCTTATAATATAACATAAATAGTGAAAAGTGGGTGATATTTCTGCCTACCCCTTCGGGGATAAAAGGCGTGATGTCATGTTTTATAAAACTGGTTTAATGATAAACGCCGTTTCTAAACGTTGAACGTACCTAATTGTATTTCTATTATAACTACATAATTGTCCTTCATGTTTTATTACTTAGCTTATTCCCTTCATTTTATGAAACGTGTTACTGTAGTCTTGCAAATCATCTTTTGCGATATTACAACTGTATATTTATTTATTAGTACGCTGTATCCTTTATTTGTTTTATTCGTATTTTGATTTAAGTTGAATTTTTTTTGAAAGGGTATACTCCCGAAAGTTGTAGTGGCGAGTTTTGTTTTATGGTTTTGAATTTATGACTTCTAGCTTATCAGTAGGTGGGTAACCTATCAGTAGTAACAATAGTTATTTTTTGCTTTTTAGTTTTTACTTTTTGTTTGTTACGTCAAACTAGTAAATGGCTCGTAATTAAAATACTTTTGAAAAGAAAGTAATATGGAAGTATTACATATGGAAAACTTGTCTGGACATAACATAACGTAACACCTTTTATCCTTAAAGGCCGAAGAGGAAGGCACACAGAGGTAACAACCACATTTCACTATTTTATGTTATGAATCCCATGTATTAGAGGGTGAACCTATTGTCTCGTCTAGACGTTTTTCAATAATTACTAAGAACCTGGATTAGTGCTTAATATAACTTATCGTATAATATTAAATTATAAAACGAGTACCAAATATGGCTTGTAAATGTAGATACTTGAAAAGAGATAAATTAGGATGCCTTTCTCCCACCAAGAAGAAATGTTATCAATAACATTCCGGACTTTGCATCGATACAAAGTCCAATATTTGATATGGGTGGACTTTATACTGTACTAATAATAAATTAGCAACAGGTTATCTGGCTGACCTCACCGGCCATATTTGCGTGATACGTAAAAATATACAGACCATGTACACGGTGGTGTCACCTGGCACAATATTCAAAACATGAAATAAAACCTATTACAAAAAATAATTGATTAAATATAGATTTAAGTGGTAAATTAAACAGGTGACTGTTGGAACCAGAACATGGTAATATATCTAGGCTTTATTTTCAATCCGCATTCCAATTAAACTATAATTGGAAGAAGTTTAATTATAAATATTTTTTTAATAATAATAATAAATAATAATAATAAATCTTTATTTCGGAATCATTACACTCCATATTTTACAAAAAAAAACAACCAAAACGCCAACCTCTCTACACTATTACAAAATTCCAAAAAACAAAAACACAAAATAAACTAAAAAAATACAAAAACAAATATTACGCTGCAATCTGTAACCATTTTTTGTACATTGTGGTAGTATACAGTCTTTCAGAAAAGTCTTTGATAATACTGTTAAAATTTAAAATACATGCGTAACAAACAAACATACTGACGTATTGGTTGCTAACGAATAATAGTTATTCCTTAGCAATAATGCCATTTGTCTGTGTTTTATGTTTGCCGGTAACAATAGCATTGATTTAAAGAATGAAGTGTGTGGTTGGAGCGAGTGCGGTACAGACGTGTGTTCTCCATCAATAATAATACATAATAACAGTAATATTGTGTATACTGACATACGTGTGTGTGTGTGACCTTGACATGTATCTTTTTGTTATAGTGTCTGCACCGCTTGGATTATAGAACCGTTAGGATATGCGTGATCCATTTTAGAAATATATATTTAGGTAATATTTATTGTAGTTCTATGATTAGAAGTTACTTAGTTGAAAATAAATATGTAGCAGTTATTTTTTAAATTTAAATTGTGATTGGAACGTATTTTGTAGTTTGTTAGGTATGTTTGCGTTTAAAAATAGACACAAATATTACACTTCCTGAATATTCGGCCTTAACATTGACTCGTAGTTCACGTTACATGTTTTACTCAAGGACAACTAATTCACGTTATGTAGTATATGTGCAGTGACCAGCATGTTAAACTACTCCAAACTTTAAATTTTTTCATTGAATTTTCAACTTTAGTATATAAACACAATAAAGTTGAAAATAAAGGACAGAAAGGTATATTTACCTATATTTTGGCATCATATCCAATATTATATAGTATATTCCACAAGGTTTGCAAGCGTTACCTGTGCGATTTGCGAGCGTTCCCTTGACATATCGATCCCTGGCGATGTATTATTGATGCGATTAGCACGGGGACGGAGATTTCCCCTGCGTGGTGGATAGTGACCGACCGGTCGACAGTCGAGGATAACTCCTCGCATCTTATACGTGGGACGCAAAAGGTGTTATAAGTTAGAAAATGGAATATTACTTAAAATGTATGCAGTATGACTTTTAGATTTGTTATGTGTACATACTAGATCTAGACGTTTGCAATTTTGTTTAAAAAATTTAAAATATGTAGAGATGTGTAGGAATCGTAGTAATTGGCGTTCCCTAGTCTCTGCCTACCCCCATCGGAGACAGGCGTGAAGTTATGTATGTATGTATTCATTATAACTCATTTAAGTCTGTCGCGGAGAACCTAACGGGTAACCGGGGCTCCGACTCGACGTGCAGGAGAAGGAACGGGGTGGTTTTTAGTCAGTAAGAGTCTGACACTCCCTTCCGCCTCACCCAGGCGGGAGCAGTCATTCGATGATTTTCCCCCCTTAAAAAAAAATCATTTAAGTTTAATAAATTGTAAGTGTAGGTTTTGCCGTGGAATTAGTTCATTAAAATTACGAAGGTGGTTTGAATAAAATTATTAGTTTCCTTATTACACTTTTGAATTGATTAAACACAATCGTTCGCTATCATAATCCAAGCTGGATTACGATTATATACGATTACCTCGATAGATAATTATTTGTTCTCAGTAAACCAATTTTATTTAAGTACATGTAGACTACTTGGAGAATTATTTATTAATTCTACTACCATAGGGTAAGACGTCGATGTTCTAGGTATTTCATAACCATCAAATTCTGGATAGAGAATTGGTAGCATTTGCTATTGTTCATTGTCTTCATATATGTGTAGAATACAGTATTTTTATTGATGTACCGTTGTGAGAACTGTATGATACTATGTATAGCTACCATGCATGTACAATATATGTATACTACTCAAGTAGATATAGCTTCGTGACATAATACTTTGATACGGTATCGGTAACAGCTGTAGTACATACCTGTAGATAAGTAAGCATTACCTATACTTAGTTGGTCCAAAGAGCAAAGTCCTTGTATTTTTTAAATATGATTGTCATATTTTCAGTTGTTCGCCAGAATTCACATTAGTGATACGTGTAGAGGACTAGAGACAATAATATAGTAAGAATGAATAGTTAAGTCGAGTGTGACTAAAGATAGTGTTGTGAATTAATTAATAGATTATGACTAGTGCTGCGATGTCAGTGTTCAGTGTCAAGTGGCTGGTGCTATGGTCACTGTGGGCTGCGCGCCTCGTCCGCCAGCCTACAGTGACCCTGCATATCAGCAATGGTCCCGTGAGGGGGAGCATCTCTCCTGATGGCTCCTTCAAGAGCTATCTCGCTATACCGTACGCTAGTGTTCCACATCGGTTTCAGGTCAGTGATACAACAAAATACTAACTTTTTGAATAGTAATATATGATACTCATTTATTTTACTTATTTGCATGACTACGTTAAGTAGTGTTGATCCTACGTGATTGATATGAATAGCTACTGTAGTAATATGTAGTAGTAAACATTATCATATACCGGGGATCATGTGCTAATAAATATTGTTGCAGGCTCCAGGCCCAGAACCGACGTGGGAGAGTACGTATGAAGCGGTCAATGAAAATGTGAGATGTACGCAGAGCGTCGAGGACTCCTTCACAGTCGGTACTGCTGATTGCCTCTCCCTGAACGTGTTCACTCCCATCGACGCCAGTCCTGGCTCCGACCTGCCAGTCATGACCTTCATTCATGGAGGAGGGTACTTCAAAGGCTCAGGGAACATGATTTTCTACGGCCCGAGGTATCTAGTACCCAAAGGTGTGATCCTTGTTACAATTAACTACAGACTGAATATACAAGGGTTCCTTTGTCTCCGCATCAAAGAAAACCCTGGCAATGCAGCAATGAAGGACCAAGTCGCTGCACTGAGGTGGGTGCGCAGGAATATAAGGAAGTTTGGTGGAGACCCCGATAACGTCACCATCTTTGGCGAGAGTGCTGGAGCTGCGTCAGTCTCCTTCCACTTGTACTCTCCAATGTCGAAAGGACTTTTCCACAAAGCCATCACCCAGAGTGGATCAGCCTTAGCAGCGTGGGCGTATCAGTATAAACCAGTGTACCTTGCCAGTTTGTTGGCCAAGGTGATGCTGTATGAGTCACAGGACCCACACGAGCTGTACAAGTACTTCATGACAAAGTCTGACGACGAGCTCATTCTCACCAGGGTACCGAGGGCAGAGGGCAATACTGTCATCTCTGAAATATTATACACACCATGTGCAGAAATACCTATAGAAGGAGAAGAAGCATTTCTCACTGAACCACCTTTCGAGCTGCTGGAGAAAGGAGCGTATAATAAAGTCCCCGTTATAATAGGTACTAATAATGAAGAAGGATTGTTGATCCTCAGCATGGACAACAGCACAATGATACCTCGGCTGGAATTCGAAAAGTCTCTGCCAAAGAATTTGGAGATCCCAGACAAAAAGACTAAACAGGAGGTGGCAGCAGAGTTACAAACAATGTATATGGAGGGAGACGATATCTCTATGGATTCCATAGTGAAAATATCGAGATGGTATGGGGAGCCAAACTTGAACTACCCTTCATTGGCTGAGACAGAGATGCTGCTGAAGACGTCTGACCAGCCAGTGTACAACTATTTATTCCAGTACTCGGGGTGGAGGAACATCCCCAAGATGTTTCTGTCAAAACAACTGAAGACTGCTGCAGGAGCCACACATGCAGACGATATCTTCTACATGTTCTCGCACGAGATTTTCGCTTCGAACTTCGAGATGAAAATGATAGACCATGTGACCACGATGTGGACAAACTTCGCTAAGTACGGGTGAGTACCTCTATATGTATGCAATTATATTGTGTGTGTGTGCGATTAGATGAATGACACAACAAATCGCGAGACCTTGCATTAATGACCTTGCTTTGGATATAGAGGTAGTGATCTAAAGTTAATGATATGTTGAATAAAGGCAACAAAGGGCGTTAACTACTTTATTTTCTTTTCTCGACTCTCCTTCTTCACCTGTTTATCTAGCTTCCTGCTTCCAATATACATGCGCAAACCATTCTAAATACCTTCGCTCATCTAATAACCGTCAACTTCAATGTCCCACTCACCGCACTGACTATCTTCACTCCTCCTTTTTCGTTCAATCTGTCTCTCTGTGGAACGCGCTGCCCAAGGAAATCAGAATGGCAAATAATCGCTGTTCATTTAAATTCAAGGTTCGGGAACACATTTATAGAAAGTGGCAAACTCAAAACAGTGGTAATATGTAGTCTATGTATTGCATTTATTTATATATGTATGTATTATATTATATGTATGCATATTAGGGATATATTATATTTATTATATAATTCGTTTTTAGACCCTATACCCTTAGTTATGTATTATCGACTATAACAATCATGTCTTCCCTCTTTAATATTTTATTACCTTAACTTCGTTATCTACTTCATACTTTCATTTTACAATTTTGCACCTACCGCTTTAACATTCTGCACCACCCAATGGTCGACTGTCAGAAAATGCCTACGGCATTAAGTCCGCCAATTTCACTATATGTGCAATAAAGTTTTAATAAATAAATAAAAATAAATAAAAATAGTCACGGTATCACCATTATGCCACTTATTAATATTCTTGTTTTTGTAAAATAGGTATATCCGAGTACACTTGTATCATAGTAGTAATTTGTTAATTACAGGGATCCTACTCCAGAAGGCTCCAGTCTCCCCATAAAGTGGTTGAGGACAAACAGTTCCACTCCCACCTCTCTGGTGATAGACGAGGAGCTCCACACCGCACCACTCTGGTACAACCACCGCATCTCCTACCTTCGGGAGCTCTATTCCAAGTTCAGGAGAAAAGATACCACCATAGTACGATAGCGTAGTCATCTAGCAATTGTTATTTAAGCATAATATTATAGATAATTTTATAATTGGTATACTTTTAACCTAGTCATTTTCGTATATTAAGGTAAAAGAATTTACAAGACTTGGTTGTGATTTAAGTATTGGGGATTAATCAATATTTCGATATTATTAGGGTGTATAAGTAAGTGAAGCAAAGAAAGCGAGAGATGATTAGCAGAAGCCATAGTAGAATTAGTTTCCCGCCAACGAGCCGAACTACCGCCATTTGGCACAACTAGGGCTCCTTTATCTATTGACCTCTGCTCGTAAACTGAAGGGACACTCGAGTGCATTCTCTAATTAGGGCAGCCAGGACCTTCCGAGGGTCGACCAAGTGGAACTTTGAACATTCCCCGACCAGGAATTATTTATTTTATTGCCGGAATGAAAAGTCACCGATGCGTTGAGAATTCCTTCAGCGAATGTCTTGGGCTTTCATTAATTTTAAAACTCCATTAAGGAACGTTCGTTTGCATTAAAAAACGGGTTCCAATAAAATGTTCATGCATTTATATTGTTCAGCGAACTGATTCCAACATTAAAATCATTTGCCGATAAACTGTGTTTGAATAGTCTTTTTGTTTCTTCACTAATCCCGACTGAAAGCGAATCGAGAGCTGCCTTTAAAAGCGAAACATGGTCCGTGTAGCACTACAGACTCGGTAATCGGCAATCTTAAAACCGTAGGTACCAACGGAAACTAAATTTCCGGTATTTGAGAAAGTAAGCCGCTTACCGTGTCGGTCTCTTATTAAAGCTCGCTTGAATGGGGCTGGCCGAATGAATGAATGTTTGTGAAACTATCCGGCTTAATCTTGGACCCTTTCGTACACCCGCACCCCGCACCCCGCGCCCCCCACACCCGCCCTAAGCTGCTCTGTAAATACGCGAAAATGGTCCCGGAGACACATCGCCGTGTTTGCTATTGTTTGCTATTTAATGAGAAACCTTTTTAAAAACTTAATGGGAATTTGGCGGCTTTATGGCTCCCGTAATCGGGGATTGCCTTGAGATCTGACAACTTTGGTTCAGTTCACACGTTGCGCAGATTACAGGCTCCGCCGACTTCTACAGATCCTTCGTTTACTTTCAAAACGTCTTGTAAAGAAAATTGTTAAAGAAAATCCGTAACTCATTTAGCAAGTTTATGAAACGTGGCCTTAATTCTCAACTTGTTTAGGTTTGTGTAAAATATTGCCGCGACGAGCTAGTTGGACACATTTTCAACGAAAAAACAAGTTCAGTCTGTAAGAGAGAAAATATTACGCTCTTATAAAGTTGTCCAGTAATTTTATAAAGGTTAGCTTAGAGATGACTAATTTTGTTCGTTACTTTTGTTTTGTAGACTAAATCAGGTCGCAGTTTACTCAAGTTCTGATTTAGTTACTTTAGAAAGTAATGAGAATCATTTTGGAATTTGACATTATTGAATTTATTACAGAATAAACTTTTTAAGATTTGAGATGGAAATAGTTTCACAAAAATAGCGGTGTATCCCTGAAAATACCCATAATTCCCGGTTCCGAGTACTGTTTACCATAATCCTGTGTTATCGGGTGAACGCACACGAACATATTTGCGACCACTGCGCGGTAATGGGACATCGACTGCGGGCGCCGCGCCGTGTGCGCACAGCTTTATTTCTATCGTGGCAGGTTAGGGAGGGGGCCTTCAATGTTGCTGAACTGAAGGTAAGCTTATGGTGAGCTGTTTGTGGCTGCGATGGCTTCAATAACAATGTTCCATGCAGGGTGTACCTATTTCATTATTTCATAGTTCTGAGTGCTATGTGCTTGAGGTGACAAAGATTCCAACAGCATCTTAAATCACTATAAGTCAAAAATCGAATATGAACTAAAATTTAAAGATTGTCATTTCATAAAAATATAAACATTTAACCAAAGAGACGCCAACGTAGGGAAACGAAATGGTATATATTCACATACCTACCTAGATATAACATGATTGTGGTCCCCACATGAACAGTTCCACCTCTTGACACGATGAATTATTCTTCTCAGATATTTGGGAGTACGTTTCAAACCCGATTTACCCCGTTTAGCATACAATAATAAGGTATGGGGCCTCCATGGGACCCTCTATGGAACCTTTTAGCTTGCGGCGAGGTGGACACCAATAGTGTCCGGGATACATGGGGGAGGAGATGGTGAGGAATAAACAATGTGAGGACTGTCACATGTATTTGTTTATTTATGTTAAAATGTGTTGTTCAGTGTATTTGTATCTAGGGCTACAGAGGTCTATTTCCATTTTAAAACGCCTATCTACAACAAACAAAAAACAAATGACTTTCTAAGTTTGAACATTGATTATTGTAAGTTTCTTCTATACCTATTTCCCTACATCTTATTTCTTTGCTGGATCCGTAACTTTAATCAAATCACGATGGCTTCCACGCACACAAACACAACGCAACGTCATACATCAAACAGCGATAACTCTGCTAAACCCCGGGCTTATGAGAGCGTAATCATATTTCACTCATATTCCAGCCCAATCTTTTATCAACATTCGATTCAAAAATCGCGCTGACACCCTCACAACTCGATACCGAAACATTAAAATCGATTTACGGACGTTTTTCCATGACACGGTGACAAACCGACGACCTCTCCTATCCGATTCAATTCCCCACATTATCTACATAATAAATTGTACGCAAGTATGGATATAGCTTTTAACCGAAACGTTCGCAGTTATCGTTTGCAGCTCCTGCCATTTATCTTGGTGTTAATTGTTAAACCCGAGATGGGACGGTAATGTGAGTATGGACTTAAAGTAACATTGGCCGAAATTTGCTAAAGATAAACTAAAAACGGCGGCTCTGTCATACTACGACAATAACCTCAGCGGTCGACTACAAATCTGGTGATATAACCAAAAAGAGGCTTGTGGACAAGGAACAGGCGACAGCGATCTGAGGCTTTAGTACGAGTTTCATTTACGTTTAAAGTATTCGTAACGAGTACGCGTTCGGCACTCTGATTGGCCGGTACCAATGAACCAACCAATCAGAGCCCCGAAACGTAAAACTAACTCGTACTAAGGCCTCTGATGGTAGAAACGGTTTTCTTGCTTGCATACATGATAATAATATATTAATATCGAATGCTGCGGAGTTATTGTATATGTGATTGAAACCTTTATTCATTGACAACACGGTTAGTGCGGTGGCTGGGCAACCGGCTGCAACGCAACGTGTCGCGAGTTCGATTCCCGCACGGAGCAACTTTTGTGTGAGCCACAAATTCTTGTTCCGGGTTTGGGTGTCATGTGTATGTAAACTTGTATGTTTGTAAACGCACCCACGACACAGGAGAAAATCCTAGGGTGGGGCAAAGTTTTTTTTATAAAAAAGAAAAAAAATTTAAAGTAAAAGACAAAAATTTAATACAAGTAAGTTATTGTCGTCCACATCAATGTATTTTTTAGACAAATACGTTACAATACTAATTATTGTTTATTTAATCAGTGCTCTCAAAACGTTCTAAAAAATATTAACCGCGACCTCCTCTCTCCGGGGTCATATTTGCGGGGTCCGTGCAAAAATGTCCCCTATTCGACCGGCATAACTCACCCTATCTACCTGCTAATGCCGCCTATAAATATTGCATATGATAGCTATTGCGGCCAACTTGCCCACTGTTGGGACATTATCTCCAGCCGAGGTGCGGTCGAGTGGACCGTGCTTGTACTAATCTCTACTCCGCCACATGTTTACATATAAAACATAGAAAAGTTTAGTGATTTCGTTAAATCTTGATACTAGCAACGTATTGAATATATAGTATAAGAAATTGTTACTGAAAAAAAGTTTACATAACATCATC